CTTGACATTAGGTAAAATAGCCAGAGGAGGTTGCTTATCCCAGGTTCCCATGGTTTTCCCTTCCCTGGCCTCCTGTGCATACTTCGGTCCCTGGCAAGCTAAACAGGAGCAGACGGATCATATAGCACCTCTGCCTCCTCTGAAGTCTGAATCCAGTGCAAACTCGTCATGATGTAATTACATGCGCGCGCTGTTTTCACACCCTTCCCACCCTCTGCTAAAAATGCTCATGCTCCTTTTCCTCCATAGAAACATCATGACCCTCCACCAGCTTCTGAGGCTGGAGAGTCCCGGTGCTCATAGCAGTCCTTGTGCCTTGTAATCTGGATGAATCAGAGGAGCCTGTTGCCAAGGCTTACTCAGATGCCCAACACTTTCCCACAGATGCTGTGGAATTGGCTAGAACCCAGATGCCTGGAAACCCCAGGAATTTATTCTCTGGATACAGTTTATAAACAGCGGACAATAGCCCGGACATCTTTTGATCCAGAATGCACAGCATATGTAATTACGACCTACCAAGAAGGAGTTTTAACTGGTGCTCAGGGCTCCAAATATGTGCGTTACTCTTCAATTTTTAGGTTGTTTTTGTTGCTTGTGTCTCTTGACTGAGACTATTGAGCCTCACGATAAGCAGGTAAGGAGAGGGCATGTTGCTTACCAATGTCACAATAAAGATTAAGGACTAGAAAGCCAGACCAGGATTCAGCTCCACACTCTGCTATTTTCTAAGCACTTGATAATGGGACGCTGTTTAGCCTCTTTCAAACTCAGTTTTCCTCATCTGCACAGGGGACACAGGCATCTTCCTCTCTGAGCTCTTTTGATGATTAAATGAGGTTAGGAAATAAAAGTGCTTGACAAAGTTCCCTATGAAGTAACACCTCAATAAAAGCAACTCACAGGTTGCTGTAAAGATTTGGTGAACTAGAAAACACAACTTGATAAAGCTGGCTCCTCTTCTAAGCCCTCAGCAACCTCCAGTGATGGGGGACAGAGTGACTTGTTCCAGAAGCACCTTCTAGGCAATTTAGCAATAGGTAGCAGAAGCCAAAAACATTCCTGGTCTTCAACCTGTTTAATAGTATCAGAAGAAATCTATCCTAAGGAAATTGCCCCCCAAAATAATACATGTCGTGTGGTAGAGGTGTTACCAATAAGTGCAAAAATTCTGTGAGGAACTTGATGTCCAAAAAAAGAAAGTAGTTCATTAAAACTATCAAGTGTCTCTCCAGGAGAATGTTAGGTAGGCATTAGGAATGATCCTGCAAAGGCATTTGTGCAGCATGAAAATATCATCACATTGAGTTCCCAAAGTGAGATGGAAAATTGTGTACAGTATGCTTGTGACAGTGTAAAATTATATAGACATTTGGACTAGCCAAGAAATCAACCACCAAAAAGAAAAATCATCATTTTGGGATGACAAGATCAAGGGTGATTTGAGGGCTATTTTCTCTTTTTTCTCTTCTGTTGTTACACTGTCTTTACCATAGAGAAAAGGAGACAAAAAAAAGCACTGTCTACTTCTCAAGTTTTGACCAGAGCTCTCCCTAAAGTGATCTGGTCCCCTCCCTTCTTCTGTAGGAAGATGGTGCCTGAGTGCCAGGTAATGATAACAGTAATCCAGTTCTAATAACACCTTTTTGAGACAAATCGTCCTTCTTTAAACAAGGAACAGCAATCCTTTAAAGTTAATGGTCTCCTTCATTCTACTCTTTGTCTCCTCTGGGCCACTTTTATCACCGGAGTAACCCTAAAACACATCCGGTCATTTTACTCTCCAGCCACATAACACTTGGCTAGCGTCACGTGTTTCTCTTCAGATGAAGTCTAGATGTTCTGAGGCAGCACCCTGTGCTCCAGCTGTGCCCAACCACCTCGAGTCCTCAGCCACACCTACACGTTCACCTGCACACCTTTGCCGGGTGGTTCCTTCTGCCGGAATCCTCTCCCTCAGATCTCTCCTCTTGAGTCTCATCTTGGAAGAAAAGCCTACTGCATGCAGAGCTTTCCCTGGCATCCCAACTCGCTCTCCCTTGCCCCAACACAAACACACATGCATGTGCATGTGCACGTGTGCACACACAGGTTCTTCCCAAATGTTCCACTACCACTTTTTTCATGGCAGTTTCCTGGGTAGTGGGATAGAAAATATTTTCTGAAACATGAAGATACCTTTCCTCTTCAATATTTTCTTGAAATGATTCCCAATTCCCTACCCATTGAGACAGAGGTTCCCATATCTTTGAGGAAGTTTAGGATTGTTAGCATGACCAGAAGAAAATAGTCATGATCATGAATGAGCTCCCCTGGTGGGTGCCAGGACCTCCCCACAAAGGCCATGAGCACGAGGAACCGAGAACAGCAGAGTAGCCCCCTGACTGTGGAGAACACTGTCCAACCGCAAGGCAGTGTACTCGTTTTCTAGGGTTGCCATACAAAGTTTGTAAACAACACCCATTTATTATTTCCTAGTTCTTAGGTCAGAAGTCTGGAGACAATATGGTTCAGTAAGAGTCTGACCAGGTCAAAATCAAGGTGTCAGCAGGGTGGTCTTCCTTCCTAGGGGCTCTGGTGATCAGTCTACGTCCAACCTCATTCAAGTCATTGGCCAAATTCATCCTGGTGGTTGTAAGACTGAAGTCCTTCCTTGCTGACTGTCAGCAGAGCCGGGGCTTCTCCTGGAGGCTGCCCACATCGATTCTCATGCTTTCCACGTGACAGTGGCTCAGCTTCTTCTCACACTTTAAATCTGTCTTCTGCTACATATCTTTAACTCCAGCTAAGAAAGTTCTCTGCTTTTAAGGGCTCATGTGATTAGACTGGTAATCCAGGATAATCTACTTCTAAGGTCCATAACCTTTATTGCCTCAGCTAAATCCCTTTTGCCATGTAAAGTTCATATGCACAAGATTCAGGGATTTGAGCATGGACATATTTGGGGGGAGCTTTCTGTCTACCATGGGCAGCAAAGACCAGAGGACATTCATGGACCCCTTTCCTAAATGACCACAAGGTCATCTCAGTCACACACTCCTTCCTACAACTGAAGTGCCTCTAAACAGGAAGCGACAAATGGGTGGGATCTGGAAGCCTGAGTGCTACCTGGGCATTAGCTGGGCTAAAAAGCTGTAAAATATTTGTCTGCATTGGGCTCAGACTTGATGCGCAATAGGATAGTACATTTTTTTTCTTTGATCCAACAAATGCTGGATCATGAGTAAAAATTAAAATATTCGTTAAAAGATAAAGCAGCTATAATTAATATCCTTTAAATCAATGCTTATTTTACCACGCCTGTAAAATTTTCTAAAGAATATAAGAAATTATTTTTAAAAATAGCCTGGCAAATGGAAAATAGCTTCATTTTACCTTCTAAGTGTATTTAACAGTAAAAATGTTCACCATGACCTGGAGAAGAGAAGTTTATGAAGATCATCCTGGACTAAGAGGAAGATTTTGGTGGAAATTCTAGGACTGCATTCCTGAAATGTATGTGTAGGGACAACGACTGTGGGAGACGAGAACCTGTCATTTCCACTCCTACAGAGGCAGGGAAGCATGTCTTTGGCTCTTTCCTACGAATTCCATCCCATCACCCACATGGATCCCTAGAGAGAACCTTTAAACAGAAGTGGGATCATTTTAGCTTTGAAAATATCAGAGAAGTAGGAAATGGAGAACTTTGGGAACTGTGCCCCATTCCAAAGCCAATGTGAGTGAAGAGCAACTCCATGCCTACGGGGGTGGTGGCCGTGTCAGGAATGGAGAACAGGCTTCATCCCCAGTTCTATGAGAGTTTCTATGAGACAGTCAAAGACTGGAGGAGGGATGGGATGGGGAAGAGGGCACTGCAGTCTCTGGATTTAATCTCCATCTGGCCACTCTCTGACATGAACACCAAGGACACATGATTTTCCCATGTATAAAATGAAGAGAGTCATATATGTATTCATTCATCCATGTTTACACCATANCACTGGGCAAGCAGGGGTCTAGGAGACTGTAAACCCCTATGAATGCCAAGATTCAAGACTCAACCCAGAGAAGTCTGATCACTGAGTCCGGGAATAAGAAACAGATAACGACAAACCTTGGGATTTGTGAAAGTTATTCACTGAAATTTTACATTTACAAATCACTTAATGCTCACAGTTTCCCTGAAGTGGAAATGATTAGAACAATTTTCAGATGAGGAAACATGCAGGCTTAGAGAGGTGGGGAAGCCTATCTCAGTCACTGGGGTGGGCATACTGAGCTGGGGTGAGACCCCGGCTGCAGGATTCCCCAGCTGAGGCGCTTTGTGACCCATATGCCGCCCAGGAGGCTGGCAGACTGAGCAAATGCTTTTCCTTGTCCTTCGCACCTTTTATCAGTTCTGTTCTGGTATATGGCTTTTTGGAAAGGTACAACTTAATAAATAAAATAGTTACCAGAAGTTGTTCCTGTTTTCAAGGAAGCATAAAACCCTTTGTTTCAAGGCCTTTCTACTCAGAATTGCTCATTTCATTCTCACGGTAACCTTTGAATGTGGATAAGGAAATGGCTCCAGTCTCCCAGACCCCAGCCAGGGCTCTGTGAATGCAGACGGAGCAGGCCAAGATGACAGAGTTTATGTTTAGGGTTACGGATTGCTTTATTAGAAGGTAATTCAAAGATATTTTCAATTAAAAATTGCATGTCCAGTAAGTGTCTATGGATATGTGTGTCTCCCCTGCCTGGCTGTGAGATTCTGGAAGCCCAGAGAGGCTCCTCTTCATTCAGGGTGGCTCAGTGGCTAGGACAGCATCTGGCTTGCCATGGGTGTGCAACACAACACGTGATAAACAACGAATGAATGAAAAAATAAAAGAGCAAACACGTGGAATCATCCACTCTCAGGAATTTCAGAAAATCACCAAATGGGGGAGAGATGTGTGACCTAGTCCAGTGATTCTCAAACTGGAGACCTCTTACCCACCCCCAAGAGAAGCAGGACAATGAACGCCAAACCTTACCTGTGAAGCTCTTTACTTGCGGTAGTTAACGCAGCCGCGAAGGCTGGGCTGACTCACAGGAAGAGCTGGGCTCTTAGTCATGCACCCGACGGAGACATCCCTTTCAGCTTCTCCTAGGTTATCTAGATGAAAACATGAAACGTAAAAATTCTCCCAGAACACGCACCTACTTCAAGAGCATGTTCCCAAATCCGAGGGGAGCCAGGGGCTCCTCCAGCCTGAGTCTACAGAGAGTCAGATGCTAACCGAGAGCGGCTTCCCAACGTCACGGAGTTCTCCAGTGGCCGACCAAACTGAAGAGGGCAACGCAGTCCTAGTGCGTCAGGACTCCTAGCACAGTGCTCTTTTCCCATAAACAGAATGACCAGGAGTGTGCCCAACAGTTGGTTAATAAAGTATTGCCTGTGGCATCAAATTAAGTGACAAAAATAATATATTTGGAGAGTAAGCCAATAAACAGAGTCACTCTCTCTGGCTCCTGATTGGCTGGCCTCTGGTCCCCGGCTCCAGCAGGGCCACTGGAAACCCTGACCCACAGGCCAGGAGCTGAGGCTCTTACCCGCCAGGCACTGAGGAAGCCATGCTGGAACCCATTACGTGCTCCTAAGAGCAGACGCGGCTGCGTTTCAGTTCCCCTAAAGGCACGGTGGTTTTTCTCTGTTTGTGAGGGAAAAAATGAAGAGTAAGCAAAATTAGTACAGTATTTTTATATCCAATACATTTAGGATCATTATGCTGACCAAAGGAGGCTGAGCCACACTTTAGTGTCCACTTTATTGCATTTTCAGGATGTGAGTGATGCATAATGACATGGATTTAGGCTCAGGAAAACAAGATTCAGGGTAGAGATTTATTGGGCAAATGTTTTGTTGTTTGACAGAAAAAGCAGATAATTTGATTCCCAAGTTTTGGTAAGAGTAAAGCAGAGCAACGAGGGGAAAACGGAAAATCCCAGCATTTTTTTCCTTCTGATGTTTTTACACAGCCCATAGCTAAAAGCAGCAGGTTAATTATCAAAGTCAGCATATATTTTTGCAATTTGTGCAAGAATAGCAAGTTATTTGGGGCCATGAAATATTAAGTAGGAGTGGGAAAGAACCAGCACATTCCCTCCCTTCTTTTGGTCCTTGCAGGGTTCAGATACTAGGTTGTGCCAATTTCCCATGTGCCCATCTTTGCTGAAGGAGGTCGCGATGGCTGAAGGACTGCTGGTGGACAGGGAGAGGCAGAAGAGAGGGGCAGTCCCTCCAGATCGGGAGCTGGCAGCTCCCATGAGCAAGGGAGCTTACAGGCTCGTCCTGGCCACAGAATGGATAGATCGCCGTGCCCCTGCCGAGTCCTGAGAGTCTGTAGAACAGGCGTTCCTGGGGGTCAGTCCTGCACCCCGTCCAGATGGGCTCAACGCCCCAGTGCTCTCTCTAGGCTGCGAGCTTGGGATCGGCTCCCGCTGGGGGGAGCGGGAGTGGCACGGAGCACACGGGTGCACAGTCAGGGTAGACGGAGGGGCCTCTCGTTGCCCGGCCAGCTCGGCCGGCCAGCATCCCATCAGGTGGGGCAGAACGATCCTCAGGCCGCTGGCAGCCATCCCTCCGCCACCTTCCCGTTCGGGCATTGCTCTGCTCGACTTCATTGTGCCAGACGCAGTGTTGAAGACTCCAGAAACAGAAATGAACAGTGGTTGTCCCTCCTGTCTAAAACTTACCAAGGAGAGGACGCCCAGACCTGGGAAGAGCTGACTAGGATACAGCGTGACCAGGGTGATCCTACTAGTGTAAAGAATGTCCCTTGGGCTCTGGGGTCAGACTGCTCTGACACCCCCAGTGGGCACTTCCTAGCCTCTGATGCCGGAGGCAACTTCCTGCGCCTCTCTGATCCTCAGTACCTGCTGTCTGATCCAGGTGGCGAGCAGACTACATTCGTTCGGGCTTCTGTGGGGACTGGACATGAAAATACAGGTAAAGCATTTACCCCAGTTCCTGGTAATTACCCATCATGATTCATTGTTATTATCGCTATCATCAATATCGTTCTTATTCAGTAATAGCAATGGTTGGAGAAACAGCCTCTCGCTGTGCCTGGGAAAAACAGAGACTTGGCAGGAGCGGCTCATCACAGCCGCTCGGGGGTCGAGCAGGTAACAGGGTGAAGGAGGACAAAGCAAAACGGGAGCAGAGCCTGAGACAGACGTGACTGTTATGACTTAGATAATGACAGATATCAGCAACTAAAGGCTAGAATGTTGTTTTGTTGTTTATTTTTGCCCAAGATCACTCAGAAAATTAGTTGCAAACAAAGAAGAAATAGCCAATCATTCCTGTTGTTAGAGGATTAAGTGAAGATGAAAGTGGGGTAGATAAGGTAAGGCAAATACGGCAGGACAAAATCTTTGGGGGACTATTAATTCTTAATAAAGAATTAGGACTGTAGATATTTAGGAAACACTGAATTTTGAGCAGTGTAGTGACTGTGATTCTGGACTCTGCACCTCTTTGCCCCTTAGATTTATCTGATATGATGTTACTGTCAGCATCTGATAGATAACTGCCTTCTAGGCCAAACGTGGTGATCCTGGCAGGCCCCAGTGGCTAAGAAGTGGTGCCTGCGGGGGCCCAGCTATAAGCCTCTTTCCTAAGGAGTGTTTAATGCCTGAAACTTAGGGAATGAAACTGTATCCTGGAGTTAAATCTGAGAAGCAGAAGCTAGAGATGTATTCGGGGATATATATATATACATATATGTGTATGTAAGGGGACTTATTATAGAAATGTGACTTCATGCCGTTGTGGGTGCTGGTAATGCTGTTATTTTGGCCTCTGATTTTGGAGCTTGAGTTCTGCAGAGCAGGCTGTCAGGAGGAGAAGGTGGCTATGGAAGATGAGCAGAAGTCCACAAGCAGCCCCGACTGAGCTGGTGAATATTGGTGCTGCGTGTCCCTTCTTCACAGAGCTACGGGCACACGTGGCCAGAGGTCGGAGAAGCTGAACAAGGAGATGGAGGAAGTAGAACAACCCCAGGCCCCCCGCCGATGCTCTGTACCATCCAGGGGAGCCTGCAGGTGCGTGAGAACAGGCTGTGAGCTGCTGCTTGACCCCCACCTATTAACAGGGGGACACTGTCCCTGCTTTCCTGAAACTGTCCTGGTTTTAGCACTGAAGGTCCCGTCCCCAGGGAAATACCTCAGCTGTGGGCACCCTGAGAAGGGTTGGTCACCCTGCCTCCTAACCTTGCACAAGAATCTCTCTTTTATGGCCCAACTTTCCCAAACATACCAGAGAGGAGATTCTGGCCTAGAAGGTGCATTTGGACCCAGCTGGCTCATTGCAAAGTCACCACAGAAGCTAACCAATGGTCATCTTTCTCTAAATACAATCCTTATTAAAATCACAATAGAAACTATTTTATTACATACAACATAGTATGCAGTTAACATACATAAAAATAATATTTAAAAAATAGGAGTAGCCATGAATTTTGCCCCTTAGTCTATTTTTAGTCACTTGTTGACCAAATCCTTGGCTGCCTTTCTACTTTCAGGGACTTTTTTGTACCTTCCTCTCACTTGCTGTGCTTTTAGACCGAGGAACTCTGTGGCCAAGGCCACTGATAGTGGCTGCCAGACATGGGCCGCTTGGGTATGAAAGTCCTGGTGGGCATTCTTTCTGCTGTCTGTGACATCGCAACAGATCAAGCTCTACTGCTTGTCAGGCACCACCGGTTCCCATCGCCTTTTCCCCGTAAATGGTGTGTTGGTGGGGTGGGGAGGAGCATCTTTCCTCCTGCAGGTCAGAGCACATAGGATTGAAGCAGATCGTTTTGTATCTGTCATCTCCAGCACTACTTAGTCCCAGGAGGAAGCAGCCACTCAACAGAGAGCATAGAAGTGTTTAACGCCAGAACTATTACAAAGATGTGGGCCGGGTTACAGCCAATCCAAAGATGACGGAACAGTCTGGGCTGTGCCAACAGAGGGAGCAGGGCCAGGAGCAGCTGCCATTGCAGGCAGGAAGGCGCCAGGGGAGGGAAGAGTTATGGGGTATAGAGGGTCCTGTAGTTATCCTACAGCTGCAGGGAAACACCCCTGTGGGAGTTACAGCCTCAAGCAGGAACACCCCACCACCTACAGCAGCGCAGGGCAATAAACACCCCAAACTCTGTCTCTCCCTCTGCTGGCACTTCCCATTGTCTGATTCCCATCTAAAACAAGAGGCAAAGAAGTGAGGGTGAGGTAGTCCTTGGGGTTCAGCCTCCCAGGGCACAGAGCAGGACAGTGAAGTGGAAAGCAGCTAGAGAATACCCAGCCCCCAGTTCTTACAGATGTGCTCTAAATAACTTTTCCTAATTTTCAATAAGTAAAAATTATCTTAGCAACTAAGCTACTAACCCGGCTGATTAAGTCCTTCAAATCCTTCATCTTCCAATGAACATGATCATCTTTGCACAGCCGTGTAATTTCACAATGCTTTCTGATCAATATGCCCTTCTGAAAGAGCCCATGTCTGTATTTTCTCCAAACATTTTTTTTTTTCCAAAAAACACAAGTATAACAAAACTAATAAAAAGAGGCTGTCGTTCATATCTATGTTCAGAACCTGGGCTTTGAGACAAGGTAGCAAGTGAAATCACTGAAAAAAAGACATTACCAATAATTAGCCTACTTACGCCCATCAAGCCTGAGAAAGGCCTGCTGGGACAGCTGGGCGATAATGGCAGTTGTGGTGTCAAGAGCTGAAAGAGCTGGGTGTGAGCTCGGTCTGTCCCGCAGGGTCCTGGGCAGGTCCCTCCACCTCTCTCCATCTCGGTCTCCTCACCTGCGATAGAAACCCTCACCATGACTCTTCCGTATGTTGTCATGAATTGCAAATAAGAAGATGGGTGTAAATGCACTTTGTTAATTGCAAATGAGTATTTATTGATTTTTGATGGACAACTGAACTTGTAACTAAATGGCAGTTTATGGAAAGTCTCAAATTTGTGTAGACAGATATTCTTCAGGGAAAAACAGACCGTTACAAAATTATCCTGCAACATTTCTTTAAAAATTGTAGAAAGTATGCATCATTATCTCAATTTAGTAATAATAATATTACATTTGGGCATTTACCCTTTCATAATGCTTTGTTGTTTTTGTTTGGTTCTCTAAGCAATTCTGGGAGGTAGACAGAGGACATTTTTCTTTCCCATTTGATGGATTAGAAAGTCCAAGGGATAGTTTGTTAGTAGAACTCAGAAGGGAGGGAGTGCAGATGCCTGAGGTTCTGGATAAATCCATGATATGACATCATACAGAAAGACCGTCATGGAACTCATGTGCTCTAGAAGCTAATACCATCCACATGTCTTCCAGGTTAAGGAAACGGCTCAGTCCCCAACTCTGTTGGGGCATTGTGCTAAGTACCAGATCTGGAAGTTTGACCACAACCACACCTATCCGGGAGGATAGGAGGTTCCTAGAGAAAACGTAGATAGATACAAGGACAGATCCTGGAATGGGCAGGTAAGGATCCCTAAATGCCATCTGAGTACGAACTCTGATTTTCCCCTAAAGGTTCTAGGGATCTTTCTCAGACACCTTGCCTGGAGGCTCCTGGAACACAGTATGCATTTTATTTTATACTTATTTCTAAATATGTCTAGCTTTACCCTCCCACTCTTCAGAG